ACTGGGAGACACCATAAAAACATTCAAATGATACGCTCCATTTGGCAGTTTACTTTGACTGGGGACAAACTTTAATTTGAATTGGTGGCCAAGTGTCCGGGATTGACTTGTATAATAATCAAATAATTTGCCATGTGCTGGGGCTTGGAGTTTGCTTTACTCATTGATTAAAATCAATAGAAAGCAACTTATTCACAAATCAATTTGCGCAAAGCCTCCTTTTAGAGGAGCCAACAAATTACATTATCGGAAAAGGAAGATGCCATGCAAATAGAGATAAGGACTGGGGATTTTGAGGGTGCGGCTCTAAACATTTTATATAGATTCATGAGGGGCCAAAAGGAAAAATTAAAACGATAAAAGGGAGCCTGCATAAGGCATGAGAAGAGGTCGCAAAAGGAAGTGGAAAGTGGTTGCCTTTATCCTGCTCCCTTCCTTATTTATTTATTTTTTTTTTGGCAGCCAGGCAGGCATACTTAATGAGCAAAGAATTTTCAGGATGCTGGAGTTTGAGTACGGCTAAGGCTAAAAGGTTCCCCAATATATATATTGTCTTAGCAACAGGCATAACATTAACTTTTGTTTATTTATAGAGTCCTGTCATATATTCCTGGCAAAACCTTTTTTGATAGCTGTCAGTGTCAGTGGAGTTATTTTGTGTGTGTTTGTTTAGGCGGAAATGTGAATAGGCTCAAATTAAATTAAGTTGGAAGGCTTGAAATCTTTAATAAATTTCTAGAATTTATAGTTGCTCAATATATTCATTTTAATTTGTGTTAATAAGGTTTTCATATAAACAAGACAACTTTGAAATATGATATGGCTTTAATTTAGCAATTTATTTGCTGCACCTGCCAAGCTCAATTAAGAACGAACCACAGAGGTAATTATATACAAATGAGTCAGACAAAGATGACTTATGGCGTCTTGAATGAAAGGCCAATTAAACAACTAATTTCTGAAGTGAAATGCAGTAGGGAAAATATTTAATAAATCTCATTCCGTCAGCTTCCATTACAGCCATTGCTTGGGCCCAAAGGGCTGACATTAATCCATGAAAATATTGAAATGAAATCAGCTTTGAACGATTCAGGGGGACTAGACATTGGCCCTCGGGGGGTCCTGTCTGGAAATAGAGTCAAATCCTGTCGCATGTGAGCGTTCTATGCTTCTAGTTCATACATATTACTCGGCATTGTCTGGGTAACTGTATTGTGTTGTTGGACAATGTGTCCTGCCATTCCGGCAGTCAGGCAGTCAGCCTGTGACATGCATAACGGGATTTGATGCTGGTGCTGCTGCTTTTGCTGCTTTTTGCGCCTGGCATCAAATATGTAAGCAAATCAGTCAAAGGACGTTGGCAAAAAGTGCACCAGCATCGACCAACTTGACGGAGCTTGGCAACAACAAGTGAAAACAAAAACCTATATAGGTCAACACTGCTCTCGAGCTGGCTCAAGGCATGTTTTACTCGAAAGGCAAACAGAAAAAGATTTATATTTAATGGAAAATGTTCTGCATAAACAGATTTGGAGTCGAGTGAGCCTGAGGCGGAAAAAATGTGTGCACACACAATATTGTGTACGAGTATTCATATGAGTGTTGTCTTTGTCTTTGTCAACATTTTGTGTATTATTAGTGGCAAGTGTTATGAAGATGCCATATTTTTCAGGGCTTGTTTGCTAAGCAAACATCAATAGAGGGCTACTGCCAGCCGAGAATTTCAAACAAATGGTTTTGTCTAAACACAAATGGTGGATTCCATAAGGTGCCTATTTTTTATTTAATTTCAAAAATTGATAAAAGGTTTTAAGACCTGTTTAAGCATATATTTTATATGTTTTATAAGTTATAAATCTTTTCATAAACTAGTACAAGTTCTTTCCAATAATTTTTCTATTAAGTTGCCTGCCATAAATCACTTGATCCCTAGAAAACAAAACCCCCAAGAAACATTCGTCTTCAGTCTATTTCAGGCATAGTTGCTAGCCCCGAACCTAGGGCCCAGCCCACCTCAAGGTCGTTGGCAGCATTCCTTTGAGTATTAAGCGAGCTTGGGGGAAAATTTCTACGCCTGTCCAATGCCTCATTGATCCCGGGACACATAAACTTGCTTTCCGTTGAAACAAACATATTGGCAGTCGCGAGCAGACATCATAGACAGGCACTTAGCGATGGGCTTAGGGGCCTTAAGGGTTAAGGAACGAGGCTCAGGCACACAGACAGACAGACAGACATTCTAACTATGGCCATGAATCAGGCCCACACATGAAGGATGAGCTTGTCTCAGCACTGAGCCCCCAATAAAACTCAAACTTGCAGTAATTGCGAGACCGAGTTCATAAAAATGCCATAACTTGAGACGTGTTCACCCTTTTCTTTCGTTTTGTTTTGGGAAAGACTGATATAAATTCACCAATTTGCCAGGGTATTTGTTTTTACAGCTTCCAGACAAGACGATGTATGTAAGTTTATGCAAATTGCTGCGTTTTATGGTGTGCGATTTTTATTATTAAATATCCTGCAACAAGAGTGCAAGGGGGGGGGGTTCATTGCACAAAATGGCTAAATGTCCTACACAATGGCAATTAACCCAATTTGGCTGGCGGTGTTGATGGCTTGATGGCGTTTTCGAGCCCAGTTGACCAAAACATTTGCAAGGGAAATTAATGAACGGGGTAATAAGCGACTAGTTACGCCTCCCCCTAAACCCTTGCGAAAATCCGCCTCATTTCCACCATCCTTGTTATGTCGGGCAAATTGCCATCATGTGTTCCTGGGCGGATGATTGCAGTTTGAATGGAGGAGCGGAGCCACAGCCACTTGGCCCCGATTGTTGACTGACTCGAGGCGGGGTCGATGGGTTGGCAGTGTGTAGTTGTAGTTTCTGAATATGTTAACCATGCAATTGGCAGATTACGAGATCCTAAGAGCACTTGGCATGGAGTAATTGCATCCACAAGTAGTCTTGACTGGTGTACTTTTGGCATGAAAAGTTTCGTTGTTGGGATGTAACAGATATATAAGTTAATTCCTTCGAAAAAAGGTATTATAATGTAGAAGACATTTAAAATAATTTAAAAATATATATCGACTGTAGCTTGGTCTTGAATTGTAAAGCTAATTCAGCAATAAATACAGTAAATCTCTTATATAAATAATCGACACAATAAACTAAAAACAAACTCAAGTCCAGGCATCGACCGCATCATTGTCACTCAATTTGCTTGTCTGACATTTGAACTGTTTGAACTGTTTGTTATTTTGGTCCAGACATTCAGACCAAAATGAAAAACTGCAGCCATCGATTTGCCAAAAAACCGAGAAAACCGTCGAGCAGCTGAGCAGCTGAAGTTACTGAGCAGACCAACAAGTGTGAACCTTCGGGCCAGGCATAATTTGTAAATGTCTTGACATGAAATCAAGACGCAAAAAGCAGCTTCGGGCTGCCAAGTAGTCCCAGATCCATACATGACTTTGCAGCAAGTTGTGCTCTGAAAAACCTCTTCCCTCTCTAAGCCTTAATTTCGTTTTTCTTGGCCAAGTCTTCAGCCTTGTCATTGAGGCATGAGACCCATAAAAGACACAATTGGGCCAAACGCTTAAAAACTGTTGACAATTTGAATTTAGGAAATCACAAACAGATGGCCTGAAAACTGGAAGGTACACAGAGAATAAAATAAAGATACCCTTAGGGAATAATAAACATATAATAAATACTTATTACCTAAAAACTTACATTTCTTCTTGTCATAATAAAATCTAAGAAATTTTTTCAGTTTACTTGTAAAAATATATATATAAATATATATATTTACATTTTCCCAGTGCCTTCAAGGAAAACCCAAACGAAAACTTGCCCTAAAAAAAAAAGGAAAAATCAAAGTTTCCACGTGCAACAAGACAAAGGATGTTGGGCAAGTTTTTCAGCAATATGCATGTAAAATATGTAAAATATTTAACACAAAATGTTTTTGTATATATTCTCTCATTTTCATTATATTCCGGCACAAAATGTGCCCTGCCCTGGCCCAAGGGCGCTTCCAAGGGTTGTGCCTGAGTGGTGAGTCTGGGAAAAAAAAGGAAAGCCCTGGAGGAAAGCTTTGGAGCGTGGGCTGAAAAATAATGAGCGTCATGCGGCGTCGTCTGATAAATATAGCACAGCACAAATTTATATATGTGGGCAACAGTTGTTGATGCCATAAGCGATAAATTTTTGCCAACTCATGGCAAATTGTGAATATGCTCGGGGATACGTGATGTGAGTATGTAGATATGTGCATATGAAAATATTTATTAAGGAGTGACTGCAATTATAGGGTGTAAATGCTTGGAGTTGTGTCGTTAAGGTATGATGAACCAATTAAAAGCAATTTTCTTATATTTTTATTAAGAAGATGTTCTCTTTTTTAAGGTAATATTGCTTATAAAATGTGCTGTTGAATAAGAAAGAATTTTCAGAAAATTTAAGGGGCTCTTGATATAACTTTTTATTTATTTTTTATTATTTATTCATCAGCAACTTCATTTCTATTTGTAAAATTCCTAAATAAAACCCTATTTAATATCTTTCTTTCTAATAATTCTTTATATTCTCGGGGATTTTCTATTAATAATTATTTGAAAAAGTAGTTATAGCCACAAATTTAAAAAAGACAAATGTAAACAATAACAAAACCAATTTTTAAACAATGCCCAAAATGATTAAACAAAAGCCGCAGCTACTGATAACTAAGAAGTCTGTGTTTGCAAACTGGCGAGTGTATCCAAATAAATAGAAATGAATAGAACAAATCTATAAGTTCTATATATGTACGTATACCCAGCACAAATTTTTCCACCAGTTCTTCTATTTGTGTTTGTTCTAAAAGCGCGACAACTGTCTTTACACACAAAAGAAGAGTTCAAGCAAATACATAGGAGACTTAAAAGAGCTTTGCATTCCATCTATAAAAAGCCAAGACCAAATCAGAAGATTCATAGTGATTCAGTGACACAGCTCCAAGATGTGTTCCAAACTCACCCTGCTCCTGGGCCTGGTGGCTCTCATTGCAGCTGCCTACGCTGTGGATGATCCCACTTCTCCAACCTCTCCAACTTCGCCAACATCTCCGACTTCGCCCACTGATCCTTCTTCACCCACTTCGCCTACTTCTCCCACTTCACCAACTTCTCCCACCTCACCAACTTCTCCTACTTCACCAACTTCGCCGACCTCACCAACTGCACCCACTTCGCCCACCGATGCCGCTGCTGCTGCCACGACAACGACCGTTGCCCCCACCACAGTTGCCACGACCACCACGAGGAACCGTCGTCGCAGGATTCGCAGGCGTTGGATCCGTAGGCGCAGAAACAATGGCAATCGCTGGGGGCGCAGGAGGTTCAACCGTGGTCGTAGGATCCGCGAGGTAAACTTTGGCGGTCGCAGATTCCGCGAGGGAGGATTCCGTGAAGGTGGATTCCGTGAGCGCAGGATCGAGCGCATCTTCTAAGATACTCTTGGGAGTCCCGAAAACCATTGATAAGGAAATAAAAAAGGAATACTGCAATTAAGAGTTAAGTATTTTATTGGGTGGGCTATTTAGGAGCATTCAAATAATTGAGCCTTATCTTAATGAGCACCTTATTTTTATGACATTTTAAATTAAAAGCTATCAGAAATTAAAAAAATGATATGGAGTCTGAAGTAATCTTTTATTTTTCTTACATTTAGTTTGAGGACTATAAGAAATTTGTTTATCTATTTTAAGAGACATTTTTCTTGATTTATGAACAAAGTGAGTTAATTTTAGCACATATTAATTAAAGATATTGGAGATTTTACGCCATGAGATTTTTAAGGCGAACTTGCCATGGTTTTTATAAAAAATTAATCAGAAAAACAAGTGCAATTTGCCCTGAAATTACGAAAGAGACTAAGCAAAGCCAAACAAAAAAAATAAATAAATACAAAAAATTACATTTAAAAATTGTATTTTATGGTGAGTTCCCATAAATTCATGGATACTTTTTTTAATTGTATAACAAAATTTATAGTTTTCCGGCGATGTTTCTAAAATATAGGATAAAAGTTTTGAGTGTATATTTTTTTTATTATTTTTTTTTAATAATATCTTGAACTTGTAGGCAAAGAAAAATAGATTGACGAATAGATGGACATACCCTATCTACAAGGCTAAAACGACTCAACTGCTAACCAAGAATTAAAGGGTCTAGCCAAAAGATTCCCTTAAATTGTGATACCTTTCTCAACTCAACCTTTATGAGTTGAGTTTAAACTTTCAATATTGACTCAGGTTGGAAAGGCGAATAGGACTCGATTTTTATTAGTTTATAGTTTATGTACTGCCTAATAAAGAAGGCGGTTATTCAACCCATATTTGTCCCATTGCCTGGAATTTGCTAACCTATTGTTTAGACAATAAATACTAGGCACACAACACACCAAATGGTGTAAGCTCTTCAATCAAAAGATCGGCCCTTCTATTTGTCTATAATATTGTTTGCTCTATCAGCACGACGACACCTGTCTTTACATTCTACAGAAGAGTTCTAGCAAACTCATGACTTTGGATTCCGCCTATAAAAGGGCAACCCAGAATCAGAAGATTTATAGTGATCACAGTGACATAGCTCCAAAATGTGTTCCAAACTCACCCTGCTTCTGGGCCTGGTGGCTCTCATTGCGACTGCCTGCGCTGTGGATGATCCAACTACTCCAGCCGATCCTACTACTCCAGCCGATCCTACTACTCCAACAGATCCAACTTCACCCACTGATTCGACTTCGCCCACTGATCCTACCTCTCCTACCACACCCACCAATCCTACTTCTCCAACTGATCCGTCTTCTCCTACCGATCCCGCTTCACCCACTGATACCACCACCACAACAACAACCGTTGCCCCCACCTCAGCCTCAACCACTAAGCGCGGCAGGCGTCGCAGGGTGCGCATTCGTGTGATTCGTAGGCGTAGAAACAGGAATGGAAACAATGGCAATGTGGTCCGCAGGGTGCGTATCTGTCGCACCGCTGCAGGAGTGCGTCAGTGCACCATCGAGCGTATCCTCTGAGAATCCAAAAAACTAATGATCGTTAAATAAAAATCGCATAAAATTTTAATATTCAATGGATTGGGCCTTGAAATATTTTTAAACAATAGTGACACAGCTCAGAATATTCCTGAATAACTGAGAGTAATATAGAAATATCTTTGCAATACTTTTTATCTAACATTATCAGAGTATTTATAGTTTAAAACTATATATTTTTGTTTAAAAAAAACTTTCTCTTTGTCTTCCTACATTTATTTTAAATAACCCTTATCAAGTTATTCTTATTATTATACTTCCTTTTATTCGACTTTTCGGAATTTCTGTACATTTACAATTCACCTTCAAACAGAAATCAATTGTCTAAAGGCTCCTATTGTTGAAAAATCCTGACACACTGCTTCTGGGGTGTCTGCAACACTAAGATTTAATTGAAATGATAAATATAATACATGGAAATATGTACAACAATGGAAAAATAACCTTCTAAGTCCACTTTTAATAAATTATAAGCACATTATAGTTATTTGGCTATTTTTAGCTAACTATAAAACTCAAAAATGAATCCTGAATACTGCTGGCAGAGTCACCTTTGAGCAGTTTAATCAGGCAGCAAGGTGCGCTTATTATAAATTAATTCAAGAGCCTGTCAAGTCGGCAGGGCCACAAAACACGATTAGTTTCGCCCGGGTTAGGCTTGACTTCACTTTATGGCCTATTTTGTGGAACAATGAGCAAGTTGGCAGACGGAGGTCCTTTCAGTTTCTGCACCCAGCAGCATAATGCTCTTTTGTTCGGCCAGAAAGTCAGGCGGCAGAGTGCAGCTGTTGCCCCATTAGCTATGCAGCGGCGAAAATTGGCCAAGGACGTTACAAGTTTTTGCAGCAAACTGCAAATTTAATTTCTCACGAAAAGAGACTTAAATTGCATTGGCAGCCGCCGATATTCAAGCTTGATTTCTCTTTTTTTAACCCCCCCAATTCAATTCAGTTGAAGTTGCATATTTATACCGCTCTGCGAGGACATTTTAAATTATGTATTCCATTTCAGCATTCAACAAGCCTGGGTAAAAAACAGATATGTACAAAAATAATGGGAGATGAAAACTTGACTTGACCAGGCGTAATCAAATAAATGACAGACCCACAATGATAAAAAATACAAATAAACACGAAAAGGGAAACCCAAACAATTGGACCTGTCATAAAAAATTGCAGAATTTTCCCTGGAATTTTTGGCTGAACAATTAAACCCGTTTCCATGGAAGGACGAAGGCCAAACTGAATTTCTGTTTCATTTGACAGCGCATTTCATTTTATTCATTTAATCCTGGCTGTGACTCAATTGCCGATAGTGACACTTGCATCTCTCGGCAACAATTTGTTGTGCTAAAATATTTACCTTATATTATTTCACCCCAGGAGCGCATTAATGCTTTGCATGTCTTAATGAAATTAATTACACACTTGTATCCTTGGGATGACTCGGTGACAGACTGACAGACGTCGTTCCGGGGATTGCAAAATTCTATTGTTGGCTGCTTCAACTTTGTGGCAGTTCCTGTTTATGTAAGGGAATCCAGGCAAATAACGTCACTCGGCTACACCTCCGTAATGTGATTACACTGGGCAACACAGGCTTCAGTTTGGTATAATTTGAAGTGTTTTATATTCTTTATGTTAATGCAAAATACATAATCTTTGGAATCTTTATTTCCTAAGAAATTGTATAAAAATATGTAAATGTAATTATGAGTATCTTTATCGGAATCCTTAATCTTTATTGCCTACTTGGGTTTTATGGTATTTTATAATAAGGTGGAAGACATTATTAACATCCTGAAAACCTTAATCAAATTTAAAATATAAACAATTAAGTTTTTCAACTGTATTCATCATTTATCCCTCTTAAAATATATCACCAAACTCCCTCTAATAAATAATTGTACATTTTGTTACCCAGTTTAATCGCAATGACAGTGGTCCATTAAACCTGACAAAGACGCAGGAATAGAACCATGGTTTCCACTCATAGACGTTGCCTGTCGTCATCATCATCTTCAGTTTTATATAAACTTTTTGGTTATGGCAATATGGCTGGAAGGAAGCGAGTGCTAGCAAGGATAACCGGTGTTCCAGTTCCACAGACGCAGCCACAGCCACTGCCTAGGTCCCAGTTGAGGCCATAATGAGCAAGGGGATTATGCGGGGAGGTGTGGACGAGCTGCATAAGTGTTCTAGCGTCTAATTATAAGGATTCGGCTCAAAGGACAGGGGAATGGCTGCTGGCCACATTTTGTGGGCTGAGAATATGACAGCATTAAGTGAGTTAACAATCTTAAAATAAATTTATAATAAGAAGAAAGATAAGATAAAGAAATACAATAACTGGTGGATTAAATAAATTTAAAATATTCTCTTCAAATGAAAGGTTAATTTATATTTCTAACAATTAATAAACAAAGAAGTTAAGAAAGAAAACAAATCCCTTACACAATTAATAGTTATTTAATTTTCGATTTATTCCTCTCTAAATGCTCTCCTCATTTAGGTAAGAGCTCCCTTTAGGATAACCCTTATATAACAAAATCTTCTACAAGTTAACAAATTATATTTTAATTAATTTCTTAACAGTTCTTGTACAAATTATTCAGGTCGCACAACTAACTAATTAAAAATTAAAACCCAATTCCCCTCACAGATCAACAGCTGCTGATACAAGCTGTCAGATTTGTTTACTCTATTCAGAATCCAGAATCCCATTAGCTCACACTCCTCAAGGACCCAATGGACTTGTATACCCATTTGAACCCTTTTCAGCGCTAAGACAGGCTGTCAAACATTTCACATTTTTCTGAGAAAAAGGATTATTTTTAAACAAGGTAAATTTTTAATTAAATGGGCAATAAATTAATAACATTTTATCTAGTTTAATAAATTAAAGTGTATTAATTTGGTATATTTTTATGATATTTTTAGGTTTTTTTTGTTGTCATATTTATTTATTTAACAGTCACATTTTGAACTCTTCATACATATATGCCTTCCCTGTTAACTTTCAAGTAACATAGCCCTGATGCTCTCTTATTCCGAATTTTCGGAGTCCTCTTTCCTTCTCTCAGTAGCTCTCCTTTCCAGTCTCTCTCGCTGGAAAAGCCGCCAAAAAGTCAGCTGTTTTTCCGGCTTGCTTTAATTTATAGAATATATATATATTGGAAAAAGGAAATACATTCGCAGTCAAAGCAAATATGTAAGCGCGACGTTTATCGCCTCCAGTGTCGCCTTAACCAATTTAATTGAGTTTAATTTATGGGCAGAACTGGAACGTCTCCGAATCCATTCGACGATAAGTCGCAATAGGGGGATTTCCCCTCTTATTTTTGGGACGCTTGATACTCAAAATGGTGCGTGTTCAAAACGCATTTCGAGGGCGAGGCCCGGCTTGGCTAGCTGTGTAAATAAAACGCGAAATAAAATAAAACAAAATGGAAATGGAAATAGAAATCGGCATAAATAAATTGCTGGGGAAAACGGTTTTATCGCCGCCACAGCCTTTGACACTTTTGTCCTTAATGGCGGCTCTCCTCGCTCTAAAACACACACTCGCCAAATGATTTAGGTTCAGGACTGGCCCACATGGCGTATGCGCAATTAAAATATTTCTTTGCTCGCATTTTCTCTCGTATCAGACATAAATTTAACTTTGGCAGACATCAGAGAAAGGCACACACAAAAAATAATAATAATAAAGATAGAAAGAACAACTAATTTGACAATTGGTTTGTCTGAGAATTTCAATATGTTTCCTTTGAGCCAGAAAAAAAATGAAAGTGGAAGGAGACCCATTATCATAATTTGTCCTTGGCATGCATAAATTCTGACTTGTCGGCAAATGTGTGCAAAAAGTTGCCAACAAGAATGTTTCTACTTGGGTTTAAGTTTTTCCGTCGCGCTTGTTTACCACAAGAAGTTGATTTATGAAGAGCTAGCTTTTTTTAACAGGTCATTTGCTCACGGTTCTTTTGGTGGGAAGTTTTAATTGAAAGTAGATTAAATGCAAATTTCATTAAAAATAATTAGTGATGACAGAAATTTTAATGAAAATTGCCAGGAAAATGTTATATTGTTAGCTTCCTTTTTGATTTATATATTTTTAAACCAGTTTAACATTCTTCAATTGTTTTTCTTTCCTGTGTCTGCATTTTACACATATTCTTCCCCCCTTAACCTTGCATTAATAGTAAAAGGTTAAGGTTACCAAGGTAAAAATAAACTTATTAGCCATATAAAAGAGTCCTTTATGAGCACATAAAAATTCCCTTTGTCCCTCTGAGCTCACTTTTCGCGGCATTCCCCAGTTGGCCTCGTCTAATTGTTCCCAAAGAGGCCAGACCGGCAAAGTTGTGTTATTAATTTTTATTGTTTCGCTTCCGCTCTTCTGTGTTCGGTTCTTTTGCATTCCAATCTTCCGAAAAACGAGCTCACTCCCATGTCCGACAATCCATTTCGAATGCAAATGAAAATGCCTGCGGCTTACTATCCCCGCGGCCCCCACAAAAACGTACATATATCCCAGTTATAAGTGTGTATATGTACATATATAGTGCGAGGGTATAATGCCCTGCAGTCCGGAGAACACAGTTTTTCCATTTGTGTGTGTCGCGTTTTAATTGCAAAGCGAAAGGGGAGAGTGAGAGGGGAGGGAAAAGCGAAAGGCAAATGCGGAAAAGTTCACTGTGGCCAGCTATTTGGCCCAGATTTGGGCGCTTTGTGCCAAAATGCTGCCAAGAGCACGCAAAATTGTCAGCAGTCTGGGTGCATTTCTCTGGTTCACCTATGATTGCAATTTTCTAATAATGTTGCTTGTTGTGTGAGAGAAATAAATGAGACATTAGCTTCTGGAAGCCATTAGAGATCGAAAAATGCTTCAGGAAAATTTAATAATAAATTGTAGTAAAATAAATTTATAAAAATTTGATGCTTATATAAAGTTTTAAAAATATTATAAACAATTCAAGTGAG